TGTTCGTACGAACAAAAGTAAGAAATTTAGGATAAGAATACGAACATGTTCTTGCATGAGGCCCAACGTGACCATTTCATCTTGCCGTTTTCTAATTTTGCTCATAACTTCCTCAGTGTTCAAGATATCGCCATGAAATTTTAGGAAAAGATTCCCATTCTGGTTTTTGTAGGAAGCCTCTTGTATCCTAAAAAACTAAACTTAATAGCCAATTCAAAAGTAGCAGAAAATGTATAAAATAACATTACAAGGCAAACTGTAGCATCAAATCAACTTAATGCGTCTTAGAAAGTAAGGAAATTAAAACAATTTAAAAACCATGTGGACATCTGTTTTGTAAACAAAGCTCCTCAACCAATGACAGCGTGTTAAATGTGTCATGTGATGAAGACAAGCATCAAAACACTTTGCAACAAGCGCTGTTCCAGAAAAAAAAAAACATACTTCGACGTTTCAAATCATTATCAAATTTGGAACAAGGGCAGATAAAATAATGCTCTTCATGGAAGCTTATCTCTTTAAGGGGTCACTAGAAAAACTCAGGTGATTTACTTTGATCCTCTTTTCAAAAAATTATCTCTTCAAAACGCATCAACAAAAATTAAAAACTCGAAGATGAGGCTGTAGCTAACTACCTGACGGCAGCCCGATTTGTTGAAATTTGTAGAAATAACGAAGCAGGAGGAAATTACAAGCAAATGCACAGAGTAGCCTTGCAAAATCTGGTCTCAGCAGTTTGGGAAGAAAATGGCAGCAGCTGCTGACGAAATGTCAACATCCCTATAATGTTTGATTTATTCTGGAATGAGTTTCAGGCTATCCTTGTTGTGGTTTTTTTTTTAAGTTCAGTACTGGAATAGTAATTAAATAGCTTACTTTATTAATCTTATTAACTCAACACTGTTGCGGTCAATTCAAGATCACACAGAACAAGAATCTCAAACTATAGAAAATAAAAACAAAATAAGGCAAGTAGAAAAAGTTAGAAAATAAGAACAATGAAACCAGACTTATTACCAAGTTAAAAGGAATTCAAGAAGATGAAGGAATTGCACCATTTCTCATATGGTGAAATAAAACATTATTTCTGAGTGTTTGAGGAAGCATTAAACAGTCTGATGTCCACCATTAAGAATGACTTCCTGTTTCTTTTCTGTAGAGTTGCATCATTTATAGGGAATTAATCTTTTTGGCTAAAACTGGTAACAGTCGAAACAAAATGAAACACCTACATTTATTGGTAAAACACATTTTCAACCTTCATTCATGACTATCTTTGTTTTTTTGTTTTGTTTTTTATAAGGTGACCTGTTTGGTTTGTTTCTAAAACCCTTTTAACTCCAATGTCGCTCTGTTGTCCTTATGCAGAGGCAGCATGTCTGTCATTTTTCCTTCAGTCTTGCCTCTTCCATTTATTTTGTGACGAAGTTTCAGAGGCGTGGTGAACAGTTGTTCATACCCATGACTGTGCAGGTATTAGAGACTTACACACCTCTCTTTTGAAATGACTATCAGGGTGTAATGTAAGAGAAACCTTTGAGCAGATGTCAATCATTTTCAAGTTCCAGGGGCAATGCAGGTTGCAACGGTGACCTTACAAGTGCAACTGTACATCATCATTTAAAAACAAGACACGGGAAGGTCAAAGTCCAGAAACAAGTGTGTAGTTTTCTGGTCAAAGATGTAGGGGTCACCTCGAGTCAAATTATCAAGGAACTATCTTGGACTCTCAGTACTCTGATGGGCCTTCGAATGGACAAAAACTCTGTTCCACTTATGCTGCGTTCACATTGAACGCGATTTCAGCTTCAAAATCGCAACCAACGCTGAAGTTGGTTGCTTGTGCACTTTGAGGTCAGACGCAGGTCAGCTCTTGAAGCGCTGCACGGCAACAGCCTCCCTGCCCCTCCCTCCTCTGTCGGGCTCTGTTTAATGT